GTTATTGGGGGATTGAAGTGGGGGAGTCCCCAAGATCGCGATAAATGGAGCCGTGCCACGTGTGATGTTCTGGCTGTGTATGCTGCAAGAACAGCATGGCCATGCTAGACATGAGCAGCTTCTGTCTGAAGTGTAAGTCCAGCTCCTAGCCTCACTTGGGTTTCAGCAGGTCGCTGGGTCAGGTTTGCCATGTCGGTCGCAGCTCCCTGCGTTGGGTGTTTAGGTGTTGTCGGTTAGCTAGGTCACCAAGCATAGTGCTCCCAATCAACAATGCAATGTTGCTCCCACTGCCGAGAGGCCCGAAGCCAGAAGCCTCCATGTCAGCACACTTTGGATCCTCACTCCCGCCCGAATCCAGAAGCCCGTGTGTAAGGGTTTGGGATTTTGGGCTTTTTTTTTATCAAGTTTTGTTTTAGGGTTTTTGCGTTTGGCGGTTTTTCGTTACAGGGTGTTGGGGCGAGCAGTTTCAGGGCAACCGGCAATACTTGCACTGCAAGCCTGGAGTTGAGAAGCTCCGAAAAGATGTAATATAATCCCAGCCCTGAACCCTACACCCCCAACGTAAAAGCCCTAAACCCTAGAATCCTAGAACCCTCAACCCCGCCCTCAAAAAGCAAACCGCGCAGCCCTAGCTTGAATCGAATGCCCAGGAGCACTCAGCGGAGAATCGAGAGCAGCGGCTAAGAGATTTCGAAGGTTCCACGGGGACTCCCAACCTGACGGGTTGAAAGTTCAGCATTGAGGGAGCTGATGGGATCTGAGATATAGATAGGTGTATGTATGTATGTATGTATGTATGTATTTATGTATGTTTCTATGTATGTATGTATGTATGTATGTATGTATGTATGTATGTATGTATGTCTGTTTTATGTGTATACGTATATGGATACATCCACGCGCACGCATACTAAGCTATCTATCTTTCTTTCTATCTTGCTACATGAATGATCTAGGATATACCCTAAACCCTACACCCTAAACCCATATGAATGATCTAAGATATACCCTAAACCCTAAACCCATATGAATGATCTAAGATATGAGATGAGACCTCTGTGCTGCCTCGGCTCTTGGGGCTTGGGATTCGGACTGGGCAGTTGCCGTGTAAATCACCTTTCACCCCCTTAGGGCTACGGCCTGGGATTCGGGGTTCCAATTTGACTGTGTGAATATATATATATACATACATACATACATACATACATACATACATACATACATACACACACATATATAGATAGATAGATAGATAGATAGATAGATAGATAGATAGATAGATCGATAGATAGATAGATAGATAAATAAATAAATAAAAAATATATATATATAGATATATGGTGCAGCGTCACCCGACCCCGGCCCACCCATCCCCCCATTATTAGCTTTACAACCACACCGCTGTGGTGGTGTTTACGTGGGTTGTTAAACCACCCTCGTCCCCCTGTGGTGTAGCGGTGGGTTTTGGGTTATTTAACCCTCCCCTCTCCCGCCCTGTGGTGTGGTGTGGTGGTGGGTTGTGGGTTTCAGGTTTAGTGTTTAACTCCCTTCCCCCCTCCCTGTGGGGTGGTGGTGGGTGTTGGGTTTAGGGTTTGGGGTTTGCACCCGCGCTGTGGGTGGGGGGTTGTTTAGGGTGCAGCTGGGCGCGGCGCAGACCGAAACCATGGCCCATCCGGGTGAGTGTCGCCACTTTGGACACGCCACGAAGTTGCATAGCTTTAGCAGTCACAACAATCACGAGGATCCCGGGTTCGGGAGGCCCATCCCTGTGACTGTTGGCACTTTTGAGACAAAAGTAACGACCCTCACGAGGATTTCGGGTGTATACCATCGGGGGGGGATGCCGACGGGGGGGCGGGGATGTACCGACACGCGACATGGCACCATATATATATATATCATATATGTATTATATGTATTATATGTATTATATGTATATTGTATATACAGTATGATTTTTATATGTTATATGCAAAAGCTCTGGGAGCCTTCCAACTGCTAAGCTATGCTTTTTGTTTTAATCGCCTCTCAGCCGAGTGGTTGGCGAGGTGCAGCGGGACGACGGAGCGGCCTGCTTCTGGGCAGGCGAACGACCGGTTTGGTTTATCGGATTCGTTTTGAGGGTTTAGGTAGAGGGCTTCAGGTTTACAGGCTTGCGGGAGGGTGCCGTCGAATCTGATCTGCAACTCTTTCGAGGCAGCGCGAGCTTCTTCCCCAGAGTGCTGCTGAGAGAGCTGGCTGGGGGCGCCAGGCGGGTGGGACATGGCTTGGGCTTGGGGCTTCAGAAGTTGGAATTCGGGTTGTGCTCGGTTGGGCTTGGATTTTCTTTTTATTGGTTGCAAAGACTTGGGCTTTTCACTTTGGCGCTGGAGTGCCGGGATCAACGGCCCCAAACCCTGGTGGTGGTGGTGGTGGTGGTGGTGAATTCGAAACCCTAATCCTCAGGCCCCCATACCCTGGCAGAAGAAAGAACTCAGAAGTTGCAGCCATGCTGCTCCTCCTACTAAAAGTAGGAGGAGCTTTCCGTTCGGCTGGCTTACTCATACAGGACAGCAGCAGACCGCACACAGAGCAGTGCTCCCATAACCAGGAGATGGGCAGTTACCTGGCCCGAAGTCCGCGTGATCGCGAGATCATCGACAAGATGATTGCAGGCGTCGGGAAGTCTTGTTCACAGCTCTTCCCAAGAAGGGGGGGATTGGCAGTCCTAAAAATAGTGGCGATCCAGTGCTTTCAATCGTTTCTGCTTAGACGATGGACATAGGCCCGAGCGATCAAGCCTACGTACAAAAACCAAAACTGTAAATTCTGTTGAATCTTTCTCGTCGTACAAGCAGCTGCTCTGCTTGAGCTCTGTGGCTTGCATGTTTATGCTTTTAGGGCTTGTGAGTATTTGAGAATCCAGAGCTGTGCGGTAGACGGAGAAGCCCCTTGTGGTCAAGGTGTGGAGCTCACCATCGGCTGATCCGGAAGTGGAGCTTCAGCATTTTCAAAGAAGATGTTATTAAAGTTGGCCATCGCCCGCCCCTTCATCGGTGCGACCCGGGCGTATGCGGAGCCTAGTACTCGGACTGCCAGCCTCTGTGTTCAAACTCCCGAATCGGTTCCTCTCATGATCCGAACCCAGCCTAGACTCCCTGGACCCTGAATCCTCAACCCTAACATCGAAACCGGTAAGCCCCAAGTTTCCTTGGATCATGACCTGGTAACCTAAAAATATCGCAGCCACGGAGGGGGCGGGGGGCAACAATCTGATGCGATGAAGTTGGGCGCACGACTTCCAGAAGGAATGCTGCGCTGGCTTCCCTAGCTTTGCCAAAGGCAAAGCGCAGCATCCGAAGTTTACAGTAGACACGCATAGCAGACACGTGCTGATAGATGTAGACACGGAGACACGTACCTTTTTAATAAACGCACATGCCATAGGTGTATGTGACCGTGTGTTGAAATTACAACAAAAACTAATGTGCGTAAATATCTTTATCTTGGCTGAAATTACAAAAAACTATTGTACTTAAATATCTTTATCTTGGCCCAAGGCCAGCATATTGTCCGCCGCAAGCAGCAGGCCAAGCTCGTGCATTCAAAAGATGTCCTGAGATTTACTGGGCAGCTGTGGCATCAATGCATGTCTAAAAAGCCAGCCGAATGTGATTGACAATAGACTCACAATAGTGGGTCTAGTCAACCCTGGCTTTCACTAACCAGGATCCCTACAGAAGAAGCATTCTTGGCCTGTTGCCTTTTGCACATATGTCAGTGCACAAGACACTTGCTGAGCAGATCTCAGAAGACTGCCATCTTAGTAGGCCGCAGGCGTTGTAGGATGCACATTCGCACAGACTGCCGAAGGCTGCTGGAGGCTTTCAAAAAGACGTACCGGGTAACTGCATGCCTTGCGTGCATCTCGACTGTCATACCAGACTGCAAGAAGTGGTATGGGTGCACAGAAAGATCGGTAGGGAGAAATCAGCAGCAGGTACTGCGGGTGCTTAACATACTCCGGCCCCAAATCGAATTTGCGAATATCAACGCCTGACATACCAGCTTCGCGTCTTGAAATCCACCTTGTTCCGCAGTGTAGGCATGCCCTGTGGCCAGCTAAGAAACGCCGCAGGAAGTGCTGGCAGGGTTCAGGGTTCATCCCCTCAGTCCTGTGATGTAAGAACAGAAGATCCGACATTTCGTTGAAGCGAGCCTATTACTCCAAGGCATCGCAGAAACTCGCGCAGCAGCCTGTGCTGTGGTGAGCCGTCTGACTCCCGAGCCCCTAAGACCAAAATTGTCTGTCCTCGTCGGCTGGTCAAATACCCCTTCGAACACCTGAAGGAAAATTTGTCATGCAACTGTCCTCAAACCTGTTTGTATGTTACTATACACATACATCAAGGAATTTTAACCATAGTTTGGGGGGTGGCTCAAAGTCTGAGGGCAGAGACGGCCCGGGGCACATTAGTTAAATGTGAGCACGACAAAGGAGCCGGGGCGGATAACTGAAACAAGCCGGGTTTTGAACAAGCCCTGAGATACATAAACATGTCAGTACAAACACACCCATATCTGTGTAGGTCTCTCTCTCTCTACTTATATACGTATATGTGTTTGCATACCCGCATTTTTTTGTGAGTATGCTTCGCTCTCTCTCTTCCCTATCTCTCTATTTTTTGACTGGTATAAATGAATAAGCAGTTAAGTAAATACATAATAATCATTTCAGTATACACAGAATCCTGTAACTGTAGGTATACATATCTGTCTATGTGTGTATATATATATGTATGTATGTATGTATGTATGTATGTATGTATGTATGTATGTATGTATGTATGTATGTATATACACATATACCTAAGTATAAACAAATAAGTGCATAAAAATATATTTAATATGCATATCTATATATATATATAAACACACACCGTTGCACACATAGATCTAGGTCCTAGATGAAGCAGAGAGGGCCTTTTAGTTTCACTTCCATCGGCGATTTAGAAGACAAGGCCGGCACCGGCAAGAGCGATGATCTCTCCGAGGTCCGGTGAAGGGCTTTGCGATTTATTGCTATTTTTGGTCAGGAGGGAATGCATTGAGAATTTTTATTGTTGCCATGATTGTTCTACAGATCTGCCGCTTGTGCTGCTATAGTCATGCTTACCAAGCGGTTGCCGTGTGGTTTTGTTCGGCTCATCTTGAGCACCGGTGCCGTTGCCTGTCATGTCTCTTGTTGCTGGTACCAGAACCATCACGTTCCGCAGTATCGCATCTATGCTTGTCATCATCAGCAGCGGCATCCTCCTTCTCCTCGTCATCATGGAAGCTGTTCAGTATGATCAGGAGTGCTCTCGTCGTTGTTCTTGTTGCTGCCGTTTTCACTCGTGAGTTCCGCTCGCAAAGACGTGGAGCATCGTCGTGTCTGTTGTTGTGAAGCCATGAAAGTATGTGATCTTTACGGGAGCTATGGTGGTCATGGTGGTGATGTTGATAACGGTGGTGATGATGGTGATGGTCTGCAGGCTGGCAGTGGTAGTTGTGTTTGGCAACAGTGGTAGTGCTAGTTGACGGTGACAATGGTAGTGCCAACAATAAATGCACACAAGTGGGCCAGTCAGCCACGCTGTTGCCGTCGTCAGAGATTTCACAGCGCAAGTTGCTAGCATCTCTGGTTCAGGGCAGGGATTGAGGCACGAACAGTAGCTCAAAGCTGAAGCGCTCACGCACGACCCCTTGCAGCACCGCCGATGCTGAAGTCAGGACGAGGATGCTGCCGATGACCTCGGCCGGGTGGTTGCGGGGCGGCATCAAGCGAGCACTAGTGACTACTGCAAGCTTCAAACATTCAGATCAGGGTTCATGATTCTTCTCAGAGAGTGAGAACGAGAAGCCAGGCGAAGGCTTGAGATAAGTAGCGGGTTCAGTGATTTTACTTTTCCGTTGTCTCAAGCTGAAATTCGGCCCCTGCTCTTCAGAATGACGAAGCCAAGGGCCTGCGCTTCAAGAAATAGCTGCCCTCTTCCTTCCGCCCGCAGAAAGATAGTGCAGGAATTAGGCCCCCCCCACTTAAGCTGACTTCTGTCTGCATGGAGCTCTGCCTGGAACGAAGACCCGGTACGATGCACATTGCCTTGCCGTTTGAGGTGCAAGCCGTGGCCACAGATACGGCTCTCATCTTCACTTCTCTTCTGGCGCTGCAGGCAGGTAACGCGTTAAGCCCTTGGCAGCTAGCAGCCAGCTCTTGTATTGCATGTATGGTATACTATCGTATATCTGTATATGATAGTATGCTATACTTACCTAGACTATATCATGGTACAGTACAGTGTCTCAAAGTACGTCATAGTATACTGTCTCGTCTTGTTTTTCCTCCCTCTTGGAAGGCCGTGGATGAGAGCATGGGTCCAACCCACGTCTGGCCTGGCACCAACACCGTGGAACATCACGCCACGCTTTGGGGTGCGCCCGGAGGGTTTGCTTCTTTGTTACAGGGGTGCTTTAGGCTCATTATGAGAATATTAAAAAAGGTTACTATATTAAGCTTTCTATAAGGTCTAATTAAAGGTTTCAGGAAAAAGAGAGGAGAAAGGAGTGTGCACCTCCCACTTTTTTGCCGACCGCTCCTCAAAACACAAGGGTCGACGACAGGACTCTTAGGCCCGGACAAAGAGAGGGCATCGTCCTACACTGCTTGGGGAAGAGGCAGCGGACCCCAATTACCGGAAGAAAGCGAGGGAGCTCGAAACGCGCACTCAAGGCAGACGAGTCGCCAGTACCGCAGCCATCCACAGGCAGAATTTCATTAAGCTGGTCCCTCAATGCACACCGCGCCCGGGGTCTGCCCCCAAAGCCGGAAAAAACCTGAACCGTGTCAGAGCATGAGGTCGGCCGTTTCGATGGTGTGCTGAACTCGATCGCAGGCTCACACATCACCGGCAAGCTGTCCGTGCGGGATGCTGACAAGGCCACGGAAGGAACCTCCTGAATGATACGGTAGTTGGACGAAAACTTCACAAACGCTTGCGGCTCAGGCTGCTCCGTCTTCACTTGACGTTAACACTCTGGGAGCTGGGAAGTCGGTCACTGAACCCCTTCAGCAGACCAGGATGGTTACCGAGTTTCCCCCTGCTGCCTCAAACACGTCCGGAACCTGAAGCCCAGGACCGACCCAAGCTCGAAAGTAGTTTCCGTGAAAAGCCCCTTCGGAGGAGCTACCGAGATATACGACCCTCTACCCCAACCGTTGCAGGCGTTCCAGGTGGATCATCGGAAGATGACCCTGGAATGCGGGGATCTCGTCCTCTACGACTCAAGGACCATGCACTGTGGAGGTGCTTGCGAAGGGTCGTGGGTTTCGTGGCTTTGGTGAAGGGAGTTAAAGTATGGTTACTGCCTAGAGTTTTTCTTGAAAGGCGCTGAACTCTGCAATCCTCTTCAGTTAATGCGGGTAAACTTAGCTAGACTTGTTTTTCAGGGTGCCTAAAGCCTAGCTACTAGCCGGGTTACGACTTGTCACAACAGAACTGCGCAGCTGATTACCCACCCCGCCTCTTTGGTCGGGCCAGGCCCGAACAACTCCGATCGGCGCAGGTCGGTGTTCTGTGACTGGCCCTGAGCTGGGTACATTCATACATATATGTATGTATATATATATACACACATACACACCGGCCTTTATCACTTTCTGCACATGCAGTAGTTAGGTTCGAGACATGTTTGTATCTGTCAAAGACTGGAACAGATGGGGTGTAGATCTTTGGGGGGGGCATAGGTATATGTATATACATATATACATATATATATATATGAGATAGCACATACATATATATATATGGTGCCCCCCC